TTCGGTTTTTTTTTATATTATGCCACAATTTCCTATAATAAAATCACTTCTTGTTTCAGCTTTTCTCCAATAGCCTCTTTTCGCCATATGGCAACGACAGCAGCCTTTACTCCAACAATGGCCTTAGCGGTGGTGGCTACCACTCGTATAATAGCGCAAATACAAATTTTAATTACTTTGACAATATTTACACGCCTTTCGGCAACAGTGGCGGCTATTATATGAACCCCTTTGCCACTGGCTTTGATTTTAATGCTTCAAATTTGCAAGCCTCAGCACCAGAATTCGTACCACGCTTCAATAATCTCAGTTTAAACGAGGGAAATTTAGAAAATAGCAAAACACAGAGTCAACAAGAAGTTAATGAAACTGTTAGCAACGTCGCAAAACCAGACACAAAGAATTTTGAAATCCGGGCGATCAACGATTTGCCTCAAGAAAATCAAGGCGCAGTGTTACTTGAGAATGATAATAAAATATTGAATGGTCTCGGCAGCAGTACCATCGCCGCTGTTGCTGGTGATAGTGGTGGTGGGGATAACGTTCCGTTGACCGCAATTGAAGATAATGCAACAAAGAATGTAGCAAAAATTGACTTGAGTGCCAATTTCTCAATACCGGTACAGCAGCAACCACAAAAATTGGGCACAAAAGCAGGGTATGCTGAAATGCCCGACAACAAGCGCCAAAGTAATGACACACACATAATGGCCAACACTAACTTGTTTAATCCAAATTCAACTGGTTCTTCATCCTGTTCTGCCGGTGGTGTTGGGTCGCGTTATACCGGGACCACAAACAAGCAACAGGCCTCCAACGGCAATGGTTCGCGTGGTTCATCATCGAATGGTTATTCCCGAAGCGGTCATGACTACACCGGTTCATCTCACAACTACGAACGTAATGGAGGCGGTGGCAATAAGCACAACAATGATAGCCTGGATAAATCGGAAAAACCTTCAGCACGTGCTGAACGTGAACGTGAACGCGATCGAGATGCCCGTCGCTACCAAAATGGGCGACGTTCTGTTGACTATCATCGTAGCAACAAGCGTCGTGATGATTGGAATCGTAATCGGGACCGTATAAATGGTTTTCGCGTAGAAGAGAAATACTCAATCGATAATGGCAAGGACAGTCCGTTACCTTCGCCGGAAAAGGTAAGAATGTAGATCTTTACCAATAAAAAAATTTTATTAAAAAAGTTTCGAAATAAATATTTCGTTAGTCGGGCTTAAATGTCAATGTAATCTGGGAATAATCGACAAAAAGAAAAATGTTTGAAAACTCCACCCGAGCTTTAATTTTTGAAGTCAGGCCAGAAATATTTAGGGCTGGTTTCAACTTAACTTAGTTAAGCCAATTTTCTTGACTTGGTCAAGAATAAGCTGTTTAAAACGTAGGCTAATTTTTGATTTAAGTCCAAAAGGTGGCTAAACTAAGTTAAGTTGAGTTGGAGAAATCAGCCCTTAGTCTTTAATAGTGGGATGGATATTTCGTTAGAAGTACTTTATTGTTTATGTTTTTGCTATTATCTTATCCACAAACCCACAAGCAAACCAATTACAGGTTAAACATCGTTGTCGACTCCCTGTTATATGTCATGAAAACGCGGCCCTAAATGTTTGCTAATTAAAGAGATTGCTTCAGAGTTTCAGACAGCGCCAAAAAGAATTAAATGTGGCACTTAATTGGGCTAAGATTTCTCTGTATTTGCTAAATTTGTTGTGCATTTTTAAAGCGCCTAAAATTAAATTTTTGCAGCATGTTTAGGCGCAAATTTATTGACAAACAGTCAAGCTTGACAATTTGTCAAGTGCACTGAATTTAGAGGTAGGGCTGATTATTATCATTATATTTATTAGTATTCACAATGCTTCATTATTTTTCTTCCTTACTCCTAATGAATTCTACACATTTTTGCTTAAATGCTATATATCAAGCCTCTTTTTTTGTTTCCATTGGTAATGGATTATACAATTTCTGCAATTCACTGAATTTCCACTCCTGCCAATTTGAACTCAAAGCGAGTTTGATTGAAATTCACTCGGGAAGTGAATTGCAGAACCTGCCTGTATATAAAACATTGATTTTTTTTACTTTAGTGCTTTGTTTATAACTACAGTCGTGTCTCTATATAGCGAATGCCCGATATAGTGAACACCGAAATATTTACACAGAGTACTCTAAATAGTGAACAATCGAAAGCCTCTAAATAGTGAACAAAATTTTAAAAGCAACGGCAAGCATAAATTGACAAAAAAAAATACCAAATTTAAACGGAAATGAAAGCGGTTATTCCCTTAAATTTATCACTTTATGTTTATTACTAGAAAAGCTGCTACTATTTGATGCTAACGTTAATTTGGTGCTTGTCGAGTTCCAACCGCTTGTGAGTGAATGTGCGCCGTTTTATGTGTTTTTTTTATTTTTTGTGTGCTAATAAATTTAGCATTTAATAATTTTTAAGTGTTATCATGTCTGCGAGGAAATTCCTTTCGTTTAAGCAAAAAATCTGAAATTGTTGAAAAAATCGGAAATTTATGGTGTAACTGCAGATATTTTCAGAGAATGGTTTCACCATTGCTTCGTCCCTCACCTACATGAGTAATACATTTAAAATTCCTAACAGTTTTACCGAGTATTTTTTCGTTTTTAATAGTTATTAGGTTCAAAATTATTTGCTAAGCTATCCTATTGCTTGATAACGCCCCTAGCCATCCGCCAGAAGATGAACTTAAAACTGCTGATGGCTCAATATTCGTGGTTTATATGCCTCCAAATTTATCGCCTTTTATTCAGCCTATGGATCAAAATGTGATTCGCTTAACTAAGCTGCACTACAAAAAACATCTGCTGTTATTAGCTGTAGGAAAAGATGACATCACACAATTTTTAAAAACTATAACTTTTAAAGATGCTGTATCATTTTCAATGCTCGGAAATCCTATAAAAGCCACTGAAGTTATTAAAAACTGACTATGCTGGCATAATAGTGTTGAGAACTCTACGTGAAAAAGCGGTCCAAAAGTCAATTTCCTCATGCATGAAGCAAACATCTATTCGCGAATTCTTTCAATAAACATTCATATGTCCATTTATATTTTCCTAAGTATACATTTATTCCAAAGATCTGTTGCACTTACATACACAAACATGAATTTTGAGCAAATAAAATAAGTTATGGAACAAAATAAGTCAACCTTAATATAGTGAACAACCTGGATGCTGTGAACAGGCCATGCAAAAATTAGTTCACTATATCCAGACACGACTGTAATTTTAAAATCACACTGGAGGAAAAAAAACTTAACTGAGAAAACGTTATTTTCGTATCTAAACACCTATGTATTAGGGCTGTGCGATTATTCGATTACTCGAGCAAGTTGGTTAATCAATTATTCGGTTAATCAATTACTCGAGTAATCAAGATTTTGATTACTCAAAACAATGATTAATCGAGTTACTTGGAATATGATTACTCAAAAAAATACATTTGCTCGTTAAAAGAGTTTACTTTGGAAAATGCTTATTTTCTTTTTACATTCTGTATATGAAAAAATTTTTCGTTTTAATTTTTGAAAACAGAAACTTTGTTCTCAAAGTATCAAGGAACTTTAACTACTTTATACATATGTAAAGAGTTTAAATGTTGATTACTCATTTTACTCGAAATGTTGATTAATCATAAAGCAAATTACTCAAATATTTTTATTTTTGGTTAATCAAAAATCTTGATTACTCGAGTAACTGAACTTTTGAGTAATCATAATTTCCAATTAATCGGATAATTGAGTTATTTACTTTATGATTAATTAAAATTTTGAGTAATCAATTAATCGCACAGCCCTACTATGTATAATAAATAATAACACCTTTGTATATTGAGAGAGAAAACGACCCCAAGTAATTTATTTCAAATTTTATTCGCCAAAAAGATATTTACATAGAGCGTGTGTGAATCGGTAACAAAGTTCGCGGCGAGTAAATTTTTGACAACTATAAGGTGAATAAAATTTCAGTAGCTCATAAGTATGGAATCCTATGCCCTTTTTGTCTATTCTCTTTCTAACAGCGGACGTGCCTGCCAAACTGAAAAGCATGATGGCGGCAGTGTTTGACAGGCACGTTCGATGATGCGAACGGCAATGGAAGGTAAGAAATGGATATCATAATTCAAATGCAAATTAGAATAGAAATTTTGATGCATAAGATTTTCCGCGTAATATTCATCATACAAATTTATCACCTTACTTGTCCATATGTCGCTCTGGAAAGAAATATATTTTAATTTATATGTTTTCTTAAAAATAAATGCACATTTACCTATTTTGCCACAGGCATTCACGAATATGGTATTCAAAACAGAAACAATGACAACGAATATTACACACATTCTTGTATTTTACGCAAAACGATAAGTTTCACAAATATTTTAAATTCTTGCCTGGAACATACACATTTATCGTTATTATTGAAAATGCAAGACTTGGCATGCATTTTTAATTTCTTATTTAATCAATTCAAATGAATAAAAACACATTTTTCTAAAATATTTCTCAATTTACATTTTAAAGTTTTTTCTGAAACTTGAATGTAACTCTGTGCGGAGAATGCGAGAATTGAAAATCAGGTGATCTCAGCTGTTTTCAAATTAAACAAACAAAATGGCGCTTTCCATACTTGTAAGCCTATACAATGGCTTTGTTTCTTTTCTATTCTAGCAGATAATTATCAGGAAGAAGAAGAATGAGGAAATTGAAAGAATTACGCTCACAGAGAGCGAAATAACGAAAAAGTAAAGAAACGCAAAACTAGCAGAAACTAGCAAGTAATCAGCTGATCGGTGTATTTGACTATTGAAAGTATTTGGCGCGAATTTTTGTTTATCCATTTGGACAGCTGCTAGTTTCTGCTAGTAAAAATTTTACTAGCAGAAATTAGCAGGAGAGCCAAAAAAGAAGAGCGTAAGATCGAGAGAGAGCTGCTAGTTTCTGCTAGTTTTTTGGGTTAAGAAACGCTTTCCAGCAGAAATTAGTGATAATTTGTGATAATTATCAGTTGAGAAACAAAGCTAATGCTTATGAGGCTAGTGAAATTTTTGACAAATGAATAGAAAATTTTGACAATCGCAAAGATTGTTGATTTGTGTAATTTTTCGTTAAATAAAAGCTTAAATTGTTGAACTACAATCAACGATGGTAGGTGTTTTCTTATTATATTAATTTCACTTCAATTCGTAATATTTTATGCCGCATAAATTTACGGTTATCAAAAATTTACTGCAGTCAAAAAAAGATTTAATTTCACACAGCAGATTGGCAAAACTGTCTCACCATAGTAAAAATATTATTCAACAGCTTTCCCCATAGAACTTTGTTACCGATTCACACACGCCCATATATGAAAAATTTTATGAAAACAATAGAGAACGGTAGAGTAGCGGTAAACTAATTATTGCTTGACACAGAAGAGGAATTATGAAAATAATTTTTATTTTACAACTAGCAAATACCCGGCTATGCTATGCCTTAAAAGTATTTTGGTGCTGTTACTCTCTCTCAATACATACAAAACTCTTAAAGCTGGGTTATGCAAGACTTAGACTTGACTTACCTAGAAACTCAGACACGATTACTCAGCGTGTCACTTATTACCATTTCTCTTTGTTTTAATTCTGAGCACTTGTATTTGTACACGTAAAATTGTAAACGTTTATTTTGTTTTTACACCAGCATTGATACAAAATTACCATTAAAATAAATGTATTTACGCGTATAAAATTGTGATCGTTTTTATTTAAATTTCTGTCTTTATTTGAAAGTTTGTTTTTCGATTGCCAGATGAATTATATTTATACAAAAAATCATATTTGTGTGGCAAATGTGTAGGGATTTTATTAAAAAATTAAATGACAGCATGATTCTGTCACGGCTCTTTTTTCGTATAGAAATTTAACTTATAAATACAAGTAAAGCAGTATGAGTTCCGCGAAACCGAACTTTATATACCCGGTGCAGGTATCAATATCGTCGTTTCAACTTCCCCTAAACTACATTTGCATGATAATCAGGAGGGGGTTTTCCCGCCTTCAAACTTTTTCGATAACATGCTGAATTAGAGTTAATGAAATGATTGAACCAAGTTTGGTAGGAATCTA